GTTTGCCTAGGCAGACCTAGGTCTGCCTGAAAAACGGGGTTTGCCGGTAACATATAAAACGGAAGGTTGCGGCGTTGAAAATACCAGTTGTTGGTTACTTTGGTGGAATCATGGCGTTGCTCAAGCACCGCTCCCCGTGTCTACTTTTTGCGCTCATACTTCTGGTAAGTTTTGCAATTCTTAAACACGAGATCGTATCTTTAATGTGTTGCTTTAAAACATTTTAATACGAACTTTTTCAAATTCGGCAGAACTGCCGAATCCTCGGCGGGATACGCCGGATTTTAGCAGCCGGAACCGCGAATGTCAGCTCCAGCTGCCAAAATTCTCAGGGAGCGGATACTCCTGTAAAATTTTTTACCGTGCACATTAAATTATTCTGTCATTATTTTATGATCACTAAGCTTGTTTGCGCCACGAAACATGTAAGGAATTTCCGGACTTAAAGAACTAATTATGATATTGGGACCTCATCATCTTTACTATAAACTCTCTGAGCTCGAACATTTTCCTTTTTTGTCACAGTTCCATCAAGTCGTTTTCCATTATTTTTGTGGCTAACCACAATTGAAAGTCTCTGCATGAGCCCGCCTTATTCAGATTTTGAACATTTTATTTGATCCAGGTTTTTTTGTACCACGCGATAAAATTGTGACTACTCCTATTTGAACGAGGTAAATGTTCATTACTTGTCATAGTTTGTTTCTTAAGATCGATTTTCATAATTTGTGCGACTTTCAGAAGGAGAAAGATGAGCCCGTTTTTTAGATTCATTCAAGGGGACCTGCGAAACCAACCCTGCAGATTCTGCAGTTTCGACCTCAGAACGGTCAGAGGTCGTACTTCCTGGTAATCAATGTTACCTGGTCCAATCAAATCTGTTGAAAACTATTCAACTGTGCATCCACAATGAGAAATAACACTTTAAATTATTCTCTCTCTCCATCGTGAGGGATTGTCCGAAAGTATTGTTGCCCTTCAACGAAAAAATGAATGTCTATTTGATCGCACACACTCTTAACAACTCAAATAATCTAAGGTGTATGATTTTTTCAGATCAACAAGTATGCGGAGTTGGCAGGAGCTGTCTCAGTTGAGCAGGGAAGTAATACAGAGCTCAACACGCAAGCAAGATTCAACGACACTGGTCTCAACGAAACACTTTTGAAAGTGGATGCAGAGGAACAACCCGGCGACGAACCGACAGAAAAAGTTGACGATACCCAACCGCGGCTTGTAGTAAGGCGTGTAACACCCGACATGGTACTTGACGATGATGACTTACGCACTGGGAACAAGATTACGGACAACTATTCGTACCTTTACGGCGTGTACCTGACTAAAGGCCACTATCTCCGCATTGAAAATCACAAAGGTCTTCGGCTAATCGTAAAAAGTCCCAATAAAGAACAAAGTATCCGGGCAAAATTAGGTGTTGTTACAATCAATGGTAAAACCGTGTGCACGGATAGTAGATCATTACCCACTCAACCAACGTACCAGAAAACTCCGGATGGAGCCATGTGGTACACGAATCTCTCATTGGGGTCACCGATGTCACGGGAGGAGATCGAGAAGTTCAAGGCTGAGGAGGAGCTAAAGGCTGAGGAGGAGCTAAATGCTGAGGAGGAGCTATGGCAGAAAAAGAAGGAAGATCGCAGGAGAGAGAAAGAGAGGCGAAAGAGCGAGAAAGCAGCGGCAAAAGCAGACCAAATGATTTCTGAGTTAAATAAAATACTGTCTATTTTTTTTTAAAATGATAGTCGAGGTCTAAGATTACAATAAAGTTTTGCAACACTGAACAAACACGGCCAAATTTTACTAGAAGTGTGCGCTTATAACTCCGTTTATACAACACTTCGAGGTTCTGAAAGTGGTTCCATTGGTTTTCTCGTGAAATTTCCTTTCATAAGCACCCATCGAAATTTAAAATATGACGAAATAAACATCAAAATTTGCTGTTTTAGTAACAAATTTCAAGTCCGAACTCTCGAATCGACTCGATCTATCGTGCGCCGAGGAAAAACGCCGTAGGAGAATTCGAATGTCGTCAAATTTCATCTCAGAAAATATTTGAGGAGCTTTGAGGACAATGCGAATAAGTGCAGTTTTTGAAAAAATTTATATTCTAATGGTTTGCAGTAAAACTGGGCTTAATGCATCTTCCGTGAAAAATTCGCTCTCAAATTCCAAATTTTAAGCATGAAAAAGTCAGTTTGAACTTATTATCCACCATAAGGATCCATGTAATTTTGAAACTCTCAACACACGTTCTTCGAAGTAGCAAAATCTGCACTTATGAGCCTTGTCCTCAAAGCTCCTCATTTATTCTTAAGGAAAGTTAGGGATGTTCTTCCTGAAATTTCTGACATTTCAGATCAAATTACAAATAAAATTCTCTGAAAAATTGGAATTCACATTTGTACAAATTTTCCCAAAAATTCATGATTTTCAGTGGAAAGGCAACGTCTGGAAGCTCACACGGCGCTCTTCCTTAGCACGGCACACAGTGGACCAAGTCAATGAGAGAGGCCGGACAAAATTTAGAAACTTGAAACGCTTGTAACTCCGCGTTTATACAAAACTTTGAGATTTTAAAAGTGCTTTCATCAATTTCCCTCCCAGTTTAAATGTGACGAATTAAGCATCAAAATTTGCAGTTTCAGTCAAAAATTCCATGTCCGACCTCTCTGATTGACTCGATCCACTGTGCGGCAATGCTACACTCTGTAGCCTATCTATGCCTAAAAAACCATGTTCGCATTATACAATCTTTCCAAAATAAGTCAGTGACATTAGTTTCTAATTGCAATATTTAGTGCACTTCGGCAAGGGTGCCACGGTTGCGGGGCGATATTCGGGAGGACAGGGAAGAGCCCGAGGAAGG